TAATATTCACTGCAGAGTAATATATAGTGTAATGTTCACTGCAGTGTAATATAAAGTGTTATGTTCACTGCAGCGTAATATAAAGTGTTATGTTCACTGCAGTGTAATATATAGTGTAATGTTCACTGCAGTGTAATATAAAGTGTAATGTTCACTGCAGTGTAATATTAAGTGTAATGTTTACTGCAGTGTAATATAAAGTGTAATGTCCACTGCAGTGTAATATAAAGTGTAATGTCCACTGCAGTGTAATATATAGTGTTATGTCCACTGCAGTGTAATATATAATGTTATGTTCACTGCAGTGTAATATATAGTGTAATGTTCGCTGCAGTGTAATATATAGTGTAATGTTCACTGCAGTGTAATATAACGTGTAATGTTCACTGCAGTGTAATATATAGTGTAATGTCCACTGCAGTGTAATATATAGTGTTATGATCGCTGCAGTGTAATATAAAGTGTTATGTCCACTGCAGTGTAATATAAAGTGTAATGTCCACTGCAGTGTAATATATAGTGTTATGTTCACTGGTCGGCTCAGAGTCAGTATACTGTGTCTGAGTGGGGTATTCATGTTAAACTGCGGCATGGTATCTCAGTGAGCTAGCACTATACATCGGCATCAGTCCGGACTAGTACAAGCAGCCACACACACACACACACACACACACATACATGCACATCGCTATATAAGTGCAATAATCTTGGACGCTATGTTAAACCCACATGTCACCTCACCTCACCTCACCTCACCTCACCTCACCTCACCTCACCTAGAACTACCCCTGCTACAACTTACAACTTGATAATGTGTACCGTATTTGACGTAATAAGTGCCCCGCTCTAATAAGCGCCCACAGTGATATTTGCTAATATATTGGCCAGTGAACAATCCTAATTAGCACCCCTTCCAATTGATCAGTGTACTTATTTATTTACAAGACTTATTTATTCGCGTATAATATGCACTCGTGTGATATGTGCACTCGTAATTATGGGCAATTAAATTCTGGAAAAATATATCTGTTGTACATAAACATTTCAGGCTGTCAGCACAAACCACAACATTTATCTTTCAACTCTGTTTTTTTCACTAAAATAATATTTCAATAAGAGCCCCCTATTTCTAATTTTGAGAGCGCCCTGGTCGAATACGGGAATATATAGTGTAATGTCCACTGCAGTGTAATATATAGTGTTATGTTCGCTGCAGTGTAATATATAGTGTAATGTTCACTGCAGTGTAATATATAGTGTAATGTTCACTGCAGTGTAATATAAGTGTAATGTTAACTGCAGTGGAATATAAAGTGTTGTGTTCACTGCAGTGTAATATATAGTGTAATGTTCACTGCAGTGTAATATATAGTGTAATGTTCACTGCAGTGTAATATAAAGTGTTATGTTCACTGCAGCGTAATATAAAGTGTTATGTTCACTGCAGTGTAATATATAGTGTAATGTTCACTGCAGTGTAATATATAGTGTAATGTTCACTGCAGTGTAATATATAGTGTAATGTTCACTGCAGTGTAATATATAGTGTAATGTTCACTGCAGTGTAATATATAGTGTTATGTTTACTGCAGTGTAATATAAAGTGTAATGTCCACTGCAGTGTAATATAAAGTGTAATGTCCACTGCAGTGTAATATATAGTGTAATGTCCACTGCAGTGTAATATATAGTGTTATGTTCACTGCAGTGTAATATATAGTGTTATGTTCACTGCAGTGTAATATCTTGTGTAATGTCCACTGCAGTGTAACATATAGTTTTATGTTCGCTGCAGTGTAATATAAAGTGTTATGTCCACTGCAGTGTAATATAAAGTGTAATGTCCACTGCAGTGTAATATATAGTGTAATGTCCACTGCAGTGTAATATATAGTGTTATGTTCACTGCAGTGTAATATGTAGTGTTATATTCACTGCAGTGTAATGTAAAGTGTAATGTTCACTGCAATGATAATATCACTTTTCTCAACTTCAGGAAACTCAGTCTTTCACACTGAAGTACCGGTATATAATAAATTACAACATCAGTAGCAATAACTCGGGTACTGATTTCTGTGAAGTAATTATCACCAATATATTTTTGAAATTAAGCTGCTAATATGTATTGAAGTTTCAAAAATATAAGATGGAGCCTTTCTCTACTTCATAATGTGCCTTATAACTAATTCTGCAAACTTTTCCACATCACAGAATCATTTCACATTCACTTTGTATTAATGATCGGCCATGTAGTTGCAAGCACCACCTGTCTTCCTCATAATCTTTCGAAGGAGGATGGATGCTGGCTTTGATACACCTTTGATCACAGAAGCCAGGCCACAATGACCTGGGAGATCACTGCAATATCAGCCCTAATCTAGACATGTGATAATACCCTATAACTCCCTCCTAATGAGGAGAGGGGGGCTCTCTTGTAAGGCCTCAAAATTTCAACAGGTGCCAAAAGTATCCCACAAATTTATTGTTTTAATTATTTTCCTGTGCACTCTACTTGCTCTTAGGTTTACCTCAATGGGAATTCCAGGTCAGAATTGGTCCCCGGCAACCTAATTGCTACTCCTTACATGAAGAAGTGACTTACCGGTAATGGATCGGGTCGTCAGACTTGGTGATTTAGTTATGGAGTGTTTTAAATCATCATCATCATCATCATCATCATCATCATCATCATCATCACCACCACCATCATCATCATCATCATCATCATCATCATCATCATCATCACCACCACCACCACCACCATCATCATCATCATCATCATCATCATCCTTTTCAGAAAATACTCAAATAAATGATTCACTGGATATCATGAAAAATGTCTGGGAAAGAAAATAGGTCCGCAGCAATCTTTGCTTGGAGACTAAATCGATCAGGTGGTCAGGCTCTGTGACTCTGTTGAGTGCTTGTCATCGTACCCGAGTGGAACATTGCTCATAATATCAATCACTGGTTTTTTTGGTCCAGGTTGTTGTTCAAACCAAGGGTCATAATCATGGTGAATCTGAAGATTGGAACCACAATCATAGGATTCTGGTGTGCCAAAGGGACACAACTCTGCACAGTAAATTGTGACAACTGGAACACCTGAGCCCTAAATTAGTCATGAGTACAAAGTTTTCAGTTTATGAGAGGCCAATCTGCTGGTAGAATATGGATCATGTTAGTCTAGCTGTGATCACTCAGAGTGTTGCTCACTGGACAAGCAGTAATTGAGTGTAGATTCAATTTAAGCTTGTAGTCATCCTTTGCCTGGAGTGGCAGTACTACCTTCATCAGTGTACAATGAGCGTGAATCTTGAATCATTCCCGTATTCGACCAGGGCGCTCTCAAAATTAGAAATAGGGGGCTCTTATTGAAATATTATTTTAGTGAAAAAAACAGAGTTGAAAGATAAATGTTGTGGTTTGTGCTGACAGCCTGAAATGTTTATGTACAACAGATATATTTTTCCAGAATTTAATTGCCCATAATTACGAGTGCACATATCACACGAGTGCATATTATACGCGAATAAATAAGTCTTGTAAATAAATAAGTACACTGATCAATTGGAAGGGGTGCTAATTAGGATTGTTCACTGGCCAATATATTAGCAAATATCACTGTGGGCGCTTATTAGAGCGGGGCACTTATTACGTCAAATACGGAACATAAGCAAGTTGTAAGTTGTAGCAGGGGTAGTTCTAGGTGAGGTGAGGTGAGGTGAGGTGAGGTGAGGTGAGGTGAAATTGGGTTTAACATAGCGTCCAAGATTATTGCACTTATATAGCGATATGCATGTATGTGTGTGTGTGTGTGTGGCTGCTTGTACTAGTCCGGACTGATGCCGATTTATAGTGCTAGCTCACTGAGATACCATGCCGCAGTTTAACATGAATACCCCACTCAGACACAGTATACTGACTCTGAGCCGACCAGTCCTTGTTTTAGCCCCTTAATGCCGAGCGCCAGACAGGGTAACAACAAGTACCATCTTTTAACGTCTTTTGGTATGACGCAGCCGGGGATCGAACCCCGAACCTTCCGCTCTCCGGGCGGATGCTCTACCACTAGACCACGGAGGCGGTCCGGTAGTTCTAGTTTCACATACATCTTCAGTGTGCAGTGTGTGACCCTATCTGCCTATCAGTTGAATAGTTTGTCCATGTGATGGAATGATTTCAAGGTGAAGTGTCTAGACGCTGCCTGGAAAGCCCACAGCTGATGAAATACATGCTATTTTTGCCTTTTTGAAAAAGAGAAACTGAAAAAAACAGACTTTGTTTGTCCTTCACACAATGCTCTATGAAGACAGGACACAGTCTGAAACTCTTCTACATATCTGTCTTTTGATAAAGGTATCATAATCATAATCATCATCTTCATGAGAATCATAATTATTGTGTAATTAATTTCGGACCCGACCCCTTCAGCGGTCTGACCAGACCTCCTCATGGGTTAAGTCCTCGGGTCCTTGTTTTTGCATACTGACCTCATCAAGGGTAATTATTTGTATAAAGTATGGATTGGGGTGATCATGGGTGAGTCATATAAAATGATACACATATTTGGGGAGAGTCATGGTAAAATGAACATTTTATTATAAAATTTAAAGTACTTTTGCATTTTGTCCTTTCAAGGGGGTCATGAAAACAATGCACAAGGACATTGGGAGGGTCATCCAAAACCATGACAAGCATTCGGGGAGGGTCAATATTTTCAGCTATATGCATCCCAAACCACTGACACCCTCATTGTAATAAATGACCGGTCCCTTGGACCTCTGGGCCTGTCTGTTTGACCCATGACCACTCAAACAAGAATGATCACTGAATCTGTGAATATGCCCAATAAGCTTGATCAGACCAGGATAAGCTTAATATGAGCAAGCTAAGCATGTGTTTTAGTGGCACTTTAGAAGCGCTCGATACACTGAGACAAGAATACTCCTACTACTGAGTCACAAGGCAGTCATTTACCTTGAGAGAGACGTACCTACCTCTAGAGGCGCATATCTCCGTAGCCTCTCCACTCTGGTATTGTTTACATCCATAGCCCTCATAAGCATTCCTCTAGCTTCTCATCTCACTGCTTAACATGCATGAAAATGTGCATCAAGCCTTGTATCCAACTCCTATGGCTGGAACTCGCAGGAATCTAAACGTCACTTCTAAGAATATTCCTTTTCAGAATGGTTGTGGAGGGGAATATAACCTAGCCGTGTTGAGTTCTTTCTAAAAGTATAAATCTTTCCACAGAACCTTGTCCGAGATCTGGAAGTTCTTGTCCTTACCCTGTGCTTTGACAGTGGATAGGCTGGAGGTAGTCAGGTCCTGTATGTAGAATATTAGTCGTGTGGGATCCAAACCCATACCTTGCGTTGAATGGGATGGTGTTCACCTATTGGTCCCCGAACAGTGTATTTAAGCCTGGGATGTGCTTGTGGTCTTTAGCAACACACCTTGCATTTTCCATGATGTATCCTTTTCGCCCACTGACTCTGCCACACGCCTTAATGATCGGAGTATCTTGAGTGGTGTGTCAAAGATATAACTTGGTGTAGTTCCGGTAAAAATAGTCTACGGGTTTCCTTACTGTGCCAGGAGAAAAAAAACTTGTATCCCACTGTTATACCACTCAATTTATGCTCACTACCTAAAAAATTGTTTATTTGTATGCCATTGTTGACACCAAAAGGGTTGAGTCACTAGGTTTAGGCAAAATGACTTATTTTCTACAGATGTCACCAAACATGTTGACTTGTTGCCAGCTTTTGCCACTTACATATTTTATGCATTCAAGATTTGCCACCAGGTTGCCACAAAGGAATTACTCAGAGTTGCCACAAAAATGTTTATTGCATCCCAAAGTTGCCACCACAATTGTTAACTTACACAACACTATTGGCACATGCGAATTACTTGACTCGGAGCATTCCCATCAAAGACTTGCATCCCAAAGTTGCCACCACATTTGTTAACAGACACAGCACTTTTGCCCCAAGAGGGTTAATTGCATCCCAAAGTTGCCACCACATTTTTAACAGACACAGCACTTTTGCCCCAAAAGGGTTAATTGAATCCCAAAGTTGACACCATATTTGTTAACAGACACAGCACTTTTGCCATAAAAGGGTTAATTGCATCCCAAAGTTGCCACCACATTTGTTAACAGACGCAGCACTTTTGCCCCAAAAGGGTTAATTGCATCCCAAAGTTGCCACCATAAAGTTTCTCATAAACTGACTTTCAGAGTTGCCACCAAGGATTACTTTCTTGTGTACCGGTACCTTTTTCCGCTGTATATTTTTACTTTATGCCAATAATCCCTTGTTGAGAAAAAACATTGTCACCACCAAACTGGTTAAATCCCTGAATATATTCATGTGAAGCACCTTAGGACCTCAATCAATGAGTTGCTACCAAGTCACCACACTTGGCACTGGTATCTCCAAGCACTGCCACTTTATAGTCCCTGTCTGTGAGAGAATATATCTCACTGTTGCCACTACAGATCCCGAATCAATATGACAGCACCAATCCAGGTATCTCAACCATCAATAAGCTAGAAGCAGACCAGGTATTTCAAGGTAACAGGCAGGTATTTAATCAATGGTTAGCTCTGACATGTTGAAACAATTAGCTTTCAACACAACAGGAATACCCTGTGAAGCACATATGGGTTAATTGTTACATAATCAGACTCTTTGTAAACACACCAGGCATGTCATTGAAATGCCTGCTTCCAATATGTCTGGTATTCAGGCAAAAAACGTCAGAGAGCTTCAAATACACCTGTCAATGTGCAGCCTAAACTGTTTACTTCCCCAGGAAATTCGTTGACCCTTCACCCAAGATTATTCCAAAATGGCACGTGTCATGTAAATGTCCACCGGGAGTAGGTTCGCACGTATCCGCCCTGGTAGATTACACCATACACCTCAGTGCAGTTTTAATACCGATTTCATTCTGAAAGTGTCAGTGATGGCTTATAATGAAATATCCATGGTAACGAACCGACAATCTACAGGTCCTATGACACAGTTTTTTACACGGAACTCACTTTCATCCAAGAGAAGCTTATTACACAAGCTGTAGTTTGTCCTGGAAAGCAGCAATTTAGAAGAAGGATTTTGGTCAACGGTACCAGCTTTGTTGGATGTTTCTGGGAGTGTGATAACGGTAAACACTGGCTCCAGTGGCATCAGGACCTTGCTGCTTGAACCCACTTGAAGGAATCCCCCCTGCAGGCAGTTTTCCTGGCTTTATTTTTAGCTCTGAGAGAGTTTTTGTGCTTCTTGTGGGAAAGCCATTATTCTAGCATTTAACTTACAGATGCTGACATTCTTTAGGCACCAGTGGAACATGGGCAGAGAGAGGAAATCTTGCCACAGCTTTTCTTTAACTTCCTGGGGGGTTACCCAAAATGAGAACTGGAGACGAAGAAGATCTGCTTACTGGTAGACAGAGCAGTGACGAGACCAGTTCATAAAAATCTCCAATATTGGAACTACATGTTGGGCCAGAGTCTTACACAACACCAGTTGATTGTCTGGAGAGTTTTGATTAAATGAAAAGGTAGTTGTATGAAACTGGCATCTTTTTTAATGTCATTTGGTGAGAGGACTTCATGGTACATTTATCAAAAGTTCAAATAAAAAAATCCTTGTCAAAATTTTCAAATATTTTATACTTTTAATATCCTTGTATTTAATGAAAAGAGGACCATATCACCCAAGTCTTCTTCTTTTTGACTTTGTGCAGGAAAAGGTTGTCATATTTTAATACGGGGGTTATCAAGTTTTGGAAATATTTATATATTCACAAATGCCATGTTGATAATTGCTTATTTAAGTGTGCAGTTTCTGATTATTAATAATGGCCTGATGTTTCTAAGAAAATGACTTATATGAATGTTATTTTATTAGAGATATTGATGCTATTATATCTCTTTTTAACAAATTTATTTTGTGCTTGCCAGTGATTTGCTGTGATTTTTACATTGGGAAGGAGTGACATATCTGTTACATGCTGTCCTATATATATATCCCAGTTATTTTTGACATATCAAGGGTTTTTTAATCACTTTATAATTATTATCTGTAGGACAACTTGATCTACTCAAAGTAAAAACAACAATAATCTTTTTACAAATATTGTTGTTAAATGACCCATAAAAGAATTAGAACTATGATTAAAGTGAAAAAAACTTGAAAAATATCATGAATGACAAAAAGAGAGAAAGTCTGTTTTCAAATTTTTATTTTATTTCACATCTATTATGCAAAGTTTTGTATTTGTCTGAGGCCTGCATCACTTTAAGCTGACACGCAGTGATATAACTGGAATACTGTTAAAAGCAGCGTTAAACCCAACTCACTCACTCACTCACTCACTCACTCACTCACTCACTCACTCACTAGGACCATGTGCATGTGCACAGGTTTGTTAGGACAGGTATTTTATTTATTTATATGTAGTCATTAGGAAAATATCATCAAGTCATATAGGGCGGGCAGGAAGATACTAAGTACATGGCATTGGCGGGGGCTATATTTGGGGTTAGTGATGGGGTGTTTGGGTCTAAATTAACAGGAATAATGGAAGAAACCAGGAGCATGTTTCCATTGGCAACTGGAATCGGTCAACATTAAACATCGGGAGTGTGAAGAGGCTGCAGACAGATGGAATACATGAGTACGGAATATGAGGATGATTCATAGAGACAGAATGAAGGAAGTGATTGTGGGGAAAGCTATGTGATTGTGTTTACCAGACAACTTAAACCACATGTGCTCCCATAATTTCATAAATAACTTCCTTGTGTTTGACGAAGCTAGCATTTGTAATATGAGGGTTTGTGAAGAGTTTAGGTATTCTATGATCTTACCAGGTCTTCTGTAGGTAATACAGTCTCTGAAAGATTAATTTTACCACAAATAATGTTCATAGAAATATTAGAAGTGCCTTATGAAATGTATCCATAGATTTGGAAAGTTAAAAGAAAAATATACTGATGAATTGTTTTCTCTGATGTTTGAAAAAATTCCTCAAAAGTTTAATTTATCTTTGGAATTTACCATATGAAAAAAACAGCTTCATTGGCCTTCTTTTCATATCATTGATACAATGGAGATATTGTTTAAAGAATAGAGTAAAAAATATTGTTTTCACATCTTGGCAAATAGAGCACAATCACAAACTCCATGCTTAACTGTTAATAAATATATCGCAAGTGTTTCCATGTCGTTTGTTGTTCCATTCAATTTTGTGTTTGTATATGTTTCCATAAACCAGAGAAAACAACAGGCCACACCTACTAATGATTTACTGTTTCCTGATTGGCTGATAAAAGAATGGGCGGGGCTTGTGTTACATTATTGTGCTGTCGATGTCACTGATTCCACATTGTTTTTCAAGTGTTTATGAGCAGCCTGTGAAGGTATTATTGTTCACATGTTTATTTATAAGAATTGACTTCTACATGGATACATACCCAGTATTAATACCATTTTTCACATTCACGCAAAAAAAGTCAATTCACAGTGTGAGCCACTGTACTTGTGTTGCATGTGAAAAAAACTCCTGAAAACTTTCTCACAAGCCATTTTGCTCTTTGGTGCCTGTTTATTAAGAATTTAAATAAATTATGAGCAATCAGAGCTCTGATTAAGAAAATATTTTTTGTTTGGTTCTTAAAGAAGCTACTAAATAACTACCACACTTACATATACTCTTAGTGGATTATATTGCACGCCGAATGAGAACATGTTGTCCCATACTTATTTGTTTGTTTGTTTGCATGTTGTTTAACGCTGCACTCAGCAATATTCCAGCTATATGACAGCGGTCTGTAAACAATCGAGTCTGGACCAGACAATCCAGTGATTGACCTTATGAGCATCGATCCACGCAATTGGGATACGATGACATGCATCAACCAAGTCAGCAAGCCTGACTACCTGATCCCGTTAGTCGCCTCTTACGACAAGCATAGTCGCCTTTTACGGCAAGCATGGGTTGCTGAAGGCTATTCTATCCTGAATCTTCACAGGTCTGACCCATATTTAAGAAATTGACTATTAGTCTTGATGCTTGCAGATATTTAATTGTTAATTACCCACAATACCTTCGAAGTGGCAGGAGACTATATTCAATAGCATTACAATGGAACAGTCTTTGCGTGTTCAAATCAATCTAGCGACACAAGTTTTTCATTATGGTGCTCTATCATTTACTTAAGTGGTAGAAAAAATGTTTATCCTGACATTGCCTCGGGGTGTTTAACTGACAATTGAGTTAATTAAATTAAAGTCAATGGATGCCTGGTTTAAATTAGATTATAAGTCGGCTTGAAGGCTAGGCTTTCCCAGTTTCACCACTAACAAATTGGAATCGTCATCAGCCAACACAATTTTATCATCTTGTTCAAACAATCCAAAATTTATTACCCAAATTACGCTGATTACAATTTGACCAGGGGACAGATAACCCATTACTGGTATGTATAACTGAAGCCCAGGGGCAATCATGTATCACAGAAGACCTGGGACAGATGACCTTGGGCAATGATGTGTCACAGAAGACCTGGGGCTTCATGTATCACAGAAGACCTGGGACAGAAGACCTGGGGTAATAATGTGTCACAGAAGACCTGGGACAGAAGACCTGGGGCAATAATGTGTCACAGAAGACCTGGGGCTTCATGTAGGCCTATCACAGAAGACTTGGGACAGAAGACCTGGGGCTTCATGTATCACAGAAGACTTGGGACAGAAGACCTGGGGCATCATGTATCACAGAAGACCTGGGACAGAAGACCTGGGGCAATGATGTGTAACAGAAGACCTGGGGCTTCATGTGTCACAGAAGACCTAGACATCAAATGTCACAGAAGACCTGGGTCATCATGTATAACGGAAGACCTGGGACAGAAGGCCTGGAACAGAAGACCTGGATCATCATGTATAACGGAAGACCTGGGACAGAAGACCTGGGTCATCATGTATAACGGAAGACCTGGGACAGAAGACCTGGGGCAATGATGTGTAACAGAAGACCTGGGGCTTCATGTGTCACAGAAGACCTAGGCATCAAATGTCACAGAAGACCTGGGTCATCATGTATAACGGAAGACCTGGGACAGAAGGCCTGGAACAGAAGAACTGGGTCATCATGTATAATGGAAGACCTGGGACAGAAGACCTGGAACAGAAGACCTGGGTCATCATGTATAACAGAAGACCTTGGACAAAAGACCTGGATCATCATGTGTCACAGAAGACCCGGGACAGAAGACCTGGGGCAATCATGCATCACAGAAGACCTGGGTTATCATGTATCACAGAAGACCTGGGACAGAAAACCTGGGACAGAAGACCTGGGGCAATCATGCATCACAGGAGACCTGGGGTATCATGTATCACAGAAAACCTGGGTCATCATGTATCACAGAAAACCTGGAACAGAAAACCTGGGACAGAAGACCTGGGGCAATCATGCATCACAGAAGACCTAGGATAAAATACCTGGGTCATCATGTATAACAGAAGACCTGGGGCAATAATGTGTCACAGAAGACCTGGGTCATCATGTATAACGGAAGACCAGGGACAGAAGGCCTGGGGCATCATGTATAACAGAAGACCTTGGACAAAAGACATGGGAAATCTTGTGTCACAGAAAACCTGGGACAGAAGACCTGGGGAATCATGTTTAACAGAAGACCTCGGGCATCATGTATCACAGCCTAGGGGGAATCATGTATCACAGAAGGCCTGGGACAGAAGACTTAGTGCATCACAGAAGACCTGGAACAGAAGACCTGCGGCAATCGTGTAGCACAGAAGACCAGAGGGACCTGGTACAATCATATACATGTATCACAGACGACCTGGTGCATCATTGGGACTTGATTAATCAGTTAGTACACATTGACACTAACTAACTGCCCTGCAGCACCATGCTGGAAGAGAAACAGTTTGATGCTGGACCTCTAAGATCTGCAAGCACAATAAAAAAATGTACCAATCTAGCTGAATCATTATCTCTGGTAACATTTAAATTGTGCTTGAGTTGTATGAAGCTTAGTTTATAGATGTTAGTTGCATCATTGCCAGATCAAATTTCAGTACAAGATGAACTTTTATTCACTTTTAACATTAACCTGAATGAAGTTGTTTTCTTCAAAGTATTTTGCCCACAAAACCTTGTAACCTCAGTAACATAAAAAAACGATAACAGCACTATGTTTTCCTTTCATCCATTCCACACAAAAAACTCATCCTTCTTTGGAGTTTCCAGCTGTACAAAGAATGCAGTCATTTATATTTGTTTTCAAACAT